AAAAAAAAAAAAAGAAAAGAAAAAAGAAAAAAGAAAAATATTATGAGGTGAGAGGATCTGCCAGATCCAGGGTCAGCCTTATTTCTGAAATGAAGACCAGTTCTTCCAGCAGGCCAGATACTCCAAATAAACTTCTATCTCTGAAGGTGCCAGTTAAGGCTCTTCTGGCCATGGAGTGGCTTTGGAAACAAGCATTCTCTACTTCTTGTTGGAGTAACTAGGACCATTCTCCATCCCAAACTCCCTTAGAAGGTAAAGTCTTGGTGATACACAAGAAACCAGTAATAGTGGTAGGGTAAGTATGAAGCTATAGCCAAGAGGGATAGAGGCTTCAATTTTCTTCTCTGGAATCGTTGCCATTTCTATCTATGTGCACAAAGATGCAGAGATGCCAGTCCCTCAGAACCCATTCCTGCTGGCCCTTAGGCTTCTCACAGCCAGAACCTGTCTTGTGCCTACATCAGAGACAAATCTCTCATTTGTTTTAGTCTCCCTCTCACCAAGACAAATCTTCATTACAGGGGATTAGTGCCCAAGGTGGAAAATAAAATCCCTTGGGGAGGCCCTGACAGAGACCATCATGTGGATCCTCCACACATCCAGCACCAATTTTTCCCCAGCACCAGAGCAAATAATTCTTCCACTAAGAACCAGATGAAGTAGCCACTTTGAACTTAGGGGCCACTTCTTTTTTTTTTGGAGACAGAGTATCACTCTATTATGCTGGGTAGAGTGCTATAGTGTCACAGCTCACAGCAAACTCAAACTCTTGGGCTTAAGTAATTCTCTTGCCTCAGCCTCCCAACTAGCAGGGACTACAGGCGCCCACCACAACACCCGGCTATTTTTTGTTGTTGTTGTTGTTGGAGTTGTCATTGTTTTAGCAGGCCTGGGCTGGGTTCGAACCCACCAGCCTCTGTGTATGTGGCTGGTGCCCTACCGACTGAGCTATAAGTGCCGCCCTACCACTTTTTTTTTTCTTCTTTTGAGACAATCTCAAGCTCAGAGTCTCACTCTATCACCCTGGGTAGAGTGCCATGGTGTCACAGCTCACAGCAACCTCCAACTCCTAAGCTCAAGCGATTCTCCTGCCTCCACTTCCCAAGTAACTGGGACTACAGGCGCCTGCCACAACGCCCAGCTATTTTTTTTTGAGACAGGAGCCTCAAGCTGTCCCCCTAGGTAGAGTGCCATGGCATCTCAGCTCACAGCAACCTCCCACTCCTGGGCTCAAGCAAGTCTCCTGCCTCAGCCTCCCAAGTAGCTGGGACCACAGGCGCCCAACACAACGCCCGGCTATTTTTTGGTTGCAGCCGTCATTGTTGTTTGGCGGGCCCAGGCCAGATTTGAACCCACCACCTTGGGTGTACGTGGCTGGCGCCTTAGCCACTTGAGCCACAGGCGCCAAGCCCTATTTTTTTTTTTTTTAAGAGACAGTCTATCTCCCTCCCTCAGTAGAGTACCATAGCATCACAGCTCATAGCAACCTCCAGCTCTTGGGCTTAGGCAATTCTTTTGCCTCAGCCATCCGAGTAGCTGGGACTACAGGTGCCCACCACAGCGCCCAGCTCTTTTTTGTTGTTGCATTTTGGCCAGGACTAGGTTTGAACCCACCAGGATTGGTATATGGGGCCAGCGCCCTACTCACTGAGCCACAGGCGCCACTCCCTTATCACTTTGTTTTTGAGAGTCTCACTCTGTTGCCCTAGGTAGTGCCATGGTATCATAGCTCACAGCAACCTCAAACTCTTGGGCTCAAGCCATCCTCTTGCCTTAGCCTCCCAAGTAGTTTGTACTACAAGTGCCCACAACACCCAGCTAATTTTTCTTTTCTTTCTTTTTTTTTTTTTCAGTAGAGACAGAGTCTTACTCTTGCTCAGGCTGGTCTTGAACCCCTGAGCTCAAGTAATACACCCACCTTGGCCTCCCAAAGTGTTAGGATTATAGGAGTCAGCTACTGCACCCAGCCTGCTTCCATCATTTTTAAATTTTCTTTCCTAGCATGCACTTCAGATTTCTGCATAATGCCACTTCACTTTATCCCTGCCTGAGTTAGCAAATACATTCCTTCCTCAGCCAACTGTGCTAACAATGTCATCACATTAAATGTGTCTGCGCCAGGTAAGAATACACTCTTTGACAGGCACCTCCTACCTCTCATTGAAGAGTTTTTCTTTTTTATCTTTACAGGGTCTCATTCTATCACCCAGACTCACCAATCATAGCTCACTGCAGCCTCTGACTCCTGGGCTCCAGTGATCCTCCCACCTCAGCTATCCCAGTAAGCTGGCTGGGACTACCGTGCTTCCCCAAAAATATGAGTCTTATATATTTATTTTTTCTCAAGAAGACACACTAGGGCTTACTTTCAGGTGACGTCTTATTTTTATTAAGTATAATGCCACAATCTACATTTATTCAAATACAGTTAAGTCATCTTCTTCTGGAACCCGACAGGGGGAGCTGACCTTGTTGATGGGGCTGGCGCTAGTGATGCTTGAACTCCTTTCCCCTAGCCATTTGCACATGTGCAATAGGATGCCTGCGATTGCGGTTACCACATGCACACCTGCGCAAGTGCTAACGCCTTGGAAAAAGGAGCTACGGCAGATAAAAAGTATTCCAGTCTTCCTTACTGTTCCTCACCAAAATGCAGGGCGTGGCTATTCTGATACGCTGCATAGCCATACCCATCACTAGGTCTTATTATTGGGGTAGTGCTTATTTTGGGGGTAGGTCTTATTTTCGGGGAAACACGGTACAGGCACGTACCACCACACCTAGCTAATTTTTAAATTTAGTTGTAGAGATAAAACTGCTGTGTTGCCCAGGCTGATCTTGAACCTCTGTCTTTAACAATCTTCTCACCTCAGCCTCTTGAGTTGCTAGTAGAGGAGCTATTTTAAAATAACACCTAAGAATTCAAGGAACACACATTTTAACTCAAATTGTTAATGAAAATAAGCTTTATTACATCAAGTAATAAATACATACAAAGATGCAAACAGTTTTAGTCCTTTTCTTCCAGATGTTTTTATCAACTTACAGTAAATGCAGAACTGAAATCTACTTACAGTCTTAGTATGAAAATTTTCGGGGGTCCTTATTAGGTTTGGTAGGTTGCTCTTTCTTCTGTATTTATAACTTGTGCATTTTTAAAACTGACTTCAAAGCACTAATAGTCATGCAAATGCTTAAGCATAAAGGAAGTTACATTAAGCAGAATCTACACTGTATGGCAAACAGGGACCAGCTAAGGAGAGCGTGCTGTCAGTGTGCATTAAAACAATCCCTAGAGCTGCCATCAGTTTATGAAAAGGAACAAATAACAACGTGGGTAAACAGAAATGTATTCAAAAGAGAAGATTAAAAGAAGACCAGGGTGTCTTGGGGGCAAACTAGTTTGCTGTAAGATAACTTCACGTGCAACTTTTAAATCAATGCTTAAAAAAAAAAAATCCAAAGTGGTTCCTAACTACTTAAAATGTAAATCCTAATTAACCGCAAAATATTTTCGCAATCTTTGAGACTGCAGGTTCAGAGTTAAGTGAACCATGGGAGGAAAAAACAAACTATCATTTTGAAAACAAAAGTTTCATTTGAACAGGAGAGATGAACTGCAACTTTTCATCTTGTAAAAAGATGGAAAACCGTCAAAATCAAAAAAGCGGCTAGGATCTGGCATTCCGTTCCGTTTCAGCCAAGCACTCCCGAACCAATCCTCTAGCATGAATGATGCCTGAAAGAGAAACAGAGGCCAGGGTTTGTCCATGTCCCAAGACCAACTATGCCAGAAGAACCTGGTCAGGAACGGGAGGAGGATCCAACCCTTTACATCCTGGCCATAAGGCCTCAAGACTGGAAGAGAACTCAGGAGACCAGCATCCAAACAACTCTAAAGGAGACTATTAAATCCCATCCCACCTCTCAGCCCTGACCTCCTACCCCAAACTCTTCATGTCTCCCTAAAAATTTCTTCCTGCCTCAAGATGGCAACAGCAAGCTGTATTTTCATGACATTCTCTTAGATGATGGGAAAAAATGCTTTTGCACCCAAGTTCTTCAAGCTTGATTCACTGTAGAGACATTTCTCTAACTACACGATAGTCTAAATTCTAGATAGGGCTTGACCATTGTCAAGCAGACAAGAGAAATTTCTGGCCTGTACAAGTAAAGGTACAAGAGAACAAGACGTACAGGTATGCTCAATTCTTTGTCTACTACAAATGACATCCCTCACTCAGGATGAGGATACTTCTGCCACCTTCTGCCCTATTAATCTTTTTTTTTTTTTTTGAGACAGTCTCACTATGTCACCACCACCACCACCCACCCCCGATAGAATGCCATGGCGTCACAACTCACAGCAACCTCAGACTCTTGGGCTTAAGCATTCTCTTGCCTCAGCCTCCCAAGTAGCTGGGGTAACTATAGGTGCCCACAACAACACCTGACTATTTTGTTGTTGTTGTTGTTGTTGTTAATGAGTAGGCCTGGGCTAGGTTTGAACCCGCCAGCACCCTAATTACTGAGCTATGGGTGCTGAGCCTACCCTATCAATCTTTTATCTCTATGGTTTATTACTTACCTTTTGACCTTTCTATTTTTGCTTCTACTGAGCACCATGAAATATCTCTTTTTATTTACTTTTTTAAAATAAGGTCTATGTTGCCCAGGCTGGTCTCAAACTCCTGGGATCCTCCTGCCTTGGCCTCCCAAAGTGCTGGGATTACAAGTATGAGCCACCATGCCCAGCCTCATCTCATTTTAATAAATAAATTCATTTCCTTCCAGCACATGATCCACAGAGGCCACTGTGAATGACATCCCCCATCACCAGCAGCTAAAACTTAGGTGTCACAAATCTTATCTTAGAGCCTCAGAAAACTTTTTCTGTCAGGGCCAGCCAGCAAATTAGGCCACATAGTCTCTGTTACAACTACTCAAGTGTAAACTATGGGTATGGCCATGTTCCAATAAATCTTTTTTAATGACTATGAAGTTTAAACTTCACATCATTTTCACATGTCCCAAATTCATTCACCATTAAAAACTGTAAAAACTGGGTGTGCATGTGGCTCAGTAGGTGGGGCGCCAGCCCCATATAACCAAGGGTGGCAGGTTCGAACCCAGCCTTGGCCAAACTGCAACAAAAAATAGCTGGACATTGTGGCAGGCACCTGTAGTCCCAGCTACTCGGGAGGCTGAGGCAAGAGAATCGCCTAAGCCCAGGAGTTGGAGGTTGCTGTGAGCTGTGTGATGCCATAGCACTCTACCTAGGGCAATAGAGTGAGACTCTATCTCTACAAAAGAAAAAAAACAAACTAAAAACCGTTCTTGGTTCATAGGCTATAGTTTGTCAATCTACCAATAGTACTCCTGAGCCATATCCCCTCTGTGACCCATCTCAGCCTGCTGTAACCTGTTTGTTAGGTTGGGCTTGGCTGGCCAGAGGGTACCCCTAAATTTTCCTTGTCATTAAGGAACCAGTAGCTTGTATCCACTTGTCAACTTGAACCACTGGCTCCAGTATTTGCCCAGCAATTCCCACTTGACCGAGCAGTACTCTAGTTCCCTGAACTATATCACTTCCTTGACTCCCAAGCAGTGGCCCCAGGAGCAGACCGATGCCTGACTCCAGGCTACCTCAAGGCCGGCCTCCACACCCCTTTCCCCAAGTTCTCTTTAGCCACACCTCTCACTTGGCCAGTCCCTCTTCCTCCCAACCTGTCCCAGCTTGTTCCCAGTCTAGCTTTGTGATTCACAAAGTTTTCATGAACACCAGTCAAGATAGTCCCTGCCCGCGGTAGCAGGCTGTCCTCTGATGGCCCATGTACCCTTGGGGATTCATGCCCTCCTTTATGCAGCCCCCTTTTATGTCATGCACTGATAACCAAAGAATATTCCTCTTCCCTTTTTCTTTTTTTGGAGACACAGTCTCACTTTGTTGCCCTGAGTAGAATGCCATGGTGTCATAGCTCATAAGCAACCTCAAACTCTTGGGCTGAAGCAATCTTCTTGCCACAGCCTCCAAGTAGCTGGTTCTACAGGCACCCACCACAATGCTTGGCTATTTTTAGAGACAGGGTCTTGCTCTTGCTCAGGCTGGTCTCAAACTCCTGAGTGTAGGCAACAATCCACCACAGCCTCCCAAAATGCTTGGATTACAGACATGAGCCACCACACCTTGCCTTCAAAGTTGCTTTTTTAGCCCCCAAATCTTTCCTAATCTTAAATGAGCTCATGAGCGACAGTTCTGCTGAACTGCCACTTTCTAAAACAGAAATCCTGGTTCAGCGCCTGTGGCTCAGGTGGCTAAGGCACCAGCCACATACACCTAAAGTGGCAGGTTCAAATCCAGCCCAGGCCCGCCAAACAACAATGACGGCTGCAACCAAAAAATAGCCAGGCGTTGTGGCAGGCACCTGTGGTCCCAGCTACTTGGGAGGCTGAGGCCGGAGACTCAATTGAGCCCAGGAGTTGGAAGTTGCTATGAGCTGTGACACCACGGCACTCTACCCAGGGGACAGCTTGAGGCTCTATCTCAAAAAATAAAATAAAATAAAACAGAAATCCTCTCTTCTCCTCTCCCTTTTATCTCCATGAGGCAGCAACCTATTTAACATCCTTGCAAATTGTGTTCTGTGATCTCCACCTGCTCTCCCTTTTCAGAGTGCTCTCCCTCTCCCTCCCCAGGCGCTACTATAGACCACATGCACTTCCTTGGGACCCTGCTCAAAAGATGGGACAGTGGAGGGCAGTGCAAAAACTAATGACCCTTACACCCCAGGAAATGATCACCCTCTGAGGTCATAGCTGCTGAAAAGGATAAAGCTGCTGTATCTCCCTGCTGCAGCCAGCAGGAATGCAGCAGGAAAGGGTCAGAGCCACAGAGCCTGGCAGGTCCCAGAGAGAACCGGCAGATCTCCCTGGCTGCATTCAAGGGTGAACCAGGCTCACTGGCCAGGGCTGCCTTTCCTAGAAAGCTCATCTAAAAACAACCAACCCCCAAGGCCCTTCCTGGGGCCTAAACATCAGGCAGTGATTCTGTAACAGAGGGGCCAACACACGGGGGATGTCTCCCTAGCCCACACTTCAACATTTGCCCCAGAAAATTTTTCAAAGCTGCAGGGTCACCTGGTGAGTGAGTATAGCCCGCAGCTTACCACGCTTCAGCCGTTCCATTGCACTCTTGCTCCCTGCATAGGTGGGTCTGATCTCTTTCCCCAGCTCTTCAATGATGGCCAGCAGCTCTGCATACTTGCTTTGAGGCACCTGGCTATTCCCAGTTCCCTAGAATGAGAAAGAAATTCAGATGAACTGAACCCCAACCTGAGCCCTGGGGAAGTCACTGGAGGGCAGAGTTACTGCCTCAGACGGAAAGAGGCACGTCCCACTCTGGGGGACAACTGTAGGTCAGGGAGGCTGCTCCTCACTCTCCTGTCCTCGAACACACAAGGAAACCACCCAGCAGCCTCCAGAAAGCTCCTTTATCATCTCAAAAAAGACAGAAGAACTGGCTTATCTCAAGGATTAAAAAAAAAAAAAAGGAATTTAGAGAATTCTCTGGGACCAGATGGATAAGAAGCCATATGTGGGGCGAGGGGATCTCGAGATGGAGGCCACACTTGGGGCCAGAAGGACAGAGCCTGGGGTATGTCCCATTCACTCATCCTCCCACCAGCAGGGCCCACCCCACAGAAAACCTCTTCTTCCAACCACTACCCAATGCCCCCAGATCAGTGGGGCAGAGGAGGCTACCCGCTCAGGCCTCTGCTCCCACAGCTGCGCCAGCTCAGCCAGCTCCCTGGGCAGGGCCCTCGCCTGCTCCTCCCTCTTTCTCTGCCGCCTCTGTCCCCAGGCCTGGCACTCCAGCCTCCTGTCCTGGTCCTGCTCCTGTTGCTGGGACCCCTCACGCCAGTGCCTCCAGGCCTCGGAGTCCTCCCTCCTGTCCTGGCGTCGCCGCCGCATGGCCATGGTGTTGCGCTGCCGCTCCAGGCTGCGCTTTAGTCCGTCTTCCCGCCGCCGCCGCTTCTTCAGGCGGTCCCGTTCCCGGGTCCGAGCCTGTTTCTCCTCCTGGGACAGGACGGCCTGGCGGGCCATGGATGGACAGGGAAATGGGCACTGTGGCTGGGCACCCACTGTGCTGAGAAGCAGCTTCCATGGCGACCTTGGAACACTCACGCTGGGCCTGGCCCAGGGAGAACCTTCCAGCTGACGAGGACCCCTGGCTCACAGCTCTGGGGCCCAGCCAGGGGCAGCATGTCTGTGTCAGATGTGGCCTGCGGCTGAAATGATGGCTTGCCCCGTTCCTGCTGTTTACCAGCCACTGAGGGACAGATGAGGAGACTGAGCCATGGGCAGGGGGCAGGGGGGCTACCATGTGAGGGTCACAGTCTGGAAAGTGGTAGAAGCAGGTTCACAGCCTTACTCAGGGGCCATACTCTCACAACTCACCACCAACAGTGCAAGGAGGCTCAGCTTGACTCCTTTAAGACATGGGCCCATCTTCCTCTTCCATGAGCCCACGTCCCATGAAAAGCAAGCAGGACAGCCCCTCTCCTCTATCCCAGGTTAGAGATCTAAGGTCAAGGTCTGGCCTCACTTGCCCAGAAAAGAGAACTGAGGGCGCCTAGTGGAGGGACAGGTGAGGCAGTGACTGCAGCAGCACTGCAACCCTTGGAGTCCCTGAGAAACACAATCCTGCCGTTCCTACACTCATGTCTCCTGTCTTGCCCAGGCACCAAGCCCAGGTCCTGGGCCAAGGAAACATAGGTGACTACCCCACAGTCTCTTTCTTTTTTTTTTTTTTTGAGACAGAGTCTCATTATGTCGCCTTCCGTGGACCACTGTGGCATCACAGCTCATAGCAACCTCAAACTCTTGGGCTCCAGTGATTCTCTTGCCTCAGACTCCCAAATAGCTGGGACTACAGGTGCCCAGCACAATGCTTGGCTATTTTTTGGTTGTAAATGTCACTGTTGTTTGGCAGGCCCGGGCTGGATTCAAACCTGCCAGCTCCAGTGAATGGGGCCGGCACCCTAATTACTGAGCTAAATACATGGAGCCCAGTCTTTCTGCTCTTCTATGTTCCACTAATTCTCCTCCCAGATGACAAGAGCACAGTCCCCTCAGTGCCCAGGCCCCCAGCCCTCACTGTGCTGCCATCCTGTTGCCATACCTGGGTGTAGCCTAGAGATGGTGGCCCGTAGTCACTCAGCAACTGTCGGTACTGTGAGGAGGTTGCCATGCTGGTAGAAGGCGAGTGGACGCTCCCAGCTATAGGATAGGAGAAAAAGATCAGGAGTGTCATGGACTGGGCTGGCTGTGCCCAAGGTGAGGATACTGAGTCCTACAACAGTGCCCTGCCCAAGACCCATGCCACCAACTGTGGTCTTCTGGCCCCACAGGACAGACTTGACCTCCAGTTTAAATGGCCAAGGCCCTAATGCCATATACCCTACCTCTGTAGCAGATACAGGAAATGCAGTCACTCAACTGTCCCAGTCATCAGAACCTTCCAAGCAGGAGGGACTGCACAAAAAATGAAAGTCACTGCTGCTTTTGGCCTAATTCCTGCCTATCCTTTTTCCATGTTCTGCTTCCCACCCCAGAGGTTGATAACCTAGAGCCCCAAGAGTCCACCCACTCCAAAGCAGAGATTCCAAACCTGCAGAAGTCTTTTTGCTCCAAGTGCCCAAAATGCTGCCAGGCTCCATAGTAAAGAAGACAGGAAGGCCTGGGAGACTAGGGATAGGTGCACCATACACAAAGTCAGCAACGTGGAGAGCACCTCAGCCTCTCTGCATGCCTTCAAACAAGCCCCTCAACCTGTCACCCCCTCCACAAAGGGGACACTCTACACTCCCAGGGCTCTGCATCCCAAGAGGGTTAAAGCCCCACATATGGGAGGCAACATTCAGGGACAGTGTCCAGGACCAGCAGTCTGAGACCAAGTAGGGCCCAGCTCAGAACACAGTCTCCTGGGCTGTGGGAGCCGGTAGGTCAGGAGCCAGTGCTGGGAGCATGAGGACCCACAATGGCATCCCAATAGCCATTAGCCAGTAAAGGATGCCCTACAGAATTACAAACAGCCGTAACCATGGAGAATCTACCTAGTCCTCCTCAGCAGCTGCCCGCCTGCCGCCCCCAGAGCCACACAGTCTCTCACGCACACAACAGATTCCGCAGACTTGGCCCCGGGGATGGACAGCTGGTGCCAGGCTGGCCAAACCAACCAGCTGCTCGTTTGGTGTGGGTGAGAGGAGGGGTGGGAGGGGGCAGGAAGGGGCAGGAAGTTCAAGAGCTCAGGCTGATGGAACTGGGAGGGGCCAAGCCCCTAGCTAGCTGTACAGCACAGAAGAGGCCAATACAGGGGACTGGCCACTCCAATACTGATCCTCTGCCTAGGTGCTAGGGACAGCACCCAAAATATCTCCCTGGATCTCCCACTAGGGCCCTGGTGTATGCTGAAGCCTGTGTTGCCCACTAAGAAAATGGACTTGGGGCTCGGCGCCTGTGGCTCAAGTGGCTAAGGTGGCAGTCACATACACCTAAGGTGGCAGGTTCAAATCCAGCCCGGGCTCGCCAAACAATGATGGCTACAACCAAAAAAATAGCCAGGCATTGTGGCAGGCGCCTGTGGTCCCAGCTACTTAGGAGGCGGAGGCAGGAGACTCGCTTGAGCCCAGGAGTTGGAGGTTGCTATGAGCTGTGATGCCAAAGCACTCTACTCAGGGGGATAGCTTGAGGCTCTGTCTCAAAAAAAAAAAAAAAAGAAAGAAAGAAAATGGACTTGGATCCTGAACTGGGGAGAGCACTCAGCCACTCTGGGCCTCAGTTTCCATACTTCTTAAATGGGGATGATGAGACACCTGCACCACAAGGACATGCTGCTCAGGACAGGAACATGCTACAAGCACACCCTCCATCTACAGCCACTATAGCTATGCAGTGAGGGATGGGGAACGGGGGGTGTGTGTGCCCCAGTTCTTTCACATCTTCCCATGAGGCAGTGGTGTGGCCTGGGTGACTGAGGATTTGCAGGCCCAGACCTGGGTTCTAGTCCTGATGGCTATCAGCAGTGACTGCTCTCTGGGCTTGGGAAGACAAAGCCCTTCAGGACATTTAGAAGATTCCAGCTCCCTGGCAGGGACTGTACTGCTCTCTGCCCACTCCCCATGCATTTACTATCCATCTCCCTCCCTCTCCCCTTCTCTAGCTTTCTTCTTGGACTATAAGTTGGTCTAAGCCATGTGACCTGTGACAAGGCCCTTTCCTCTCAGGCCTCAGTTTCTTCCAGGCAGTACTTCCCATCAGAAGTCCTAAGACTCTGCAGGGGTCCTCAAACTTATTAAACAGGGGGCCAATTCACTGTCCCTCAGACTGCGGGCAGGGGAAGGGCCGGGGAAGAGTCGGCTGCTAAGCAAGACAGGCAGTGGCGGCAAAAACACCCGGCAGGCCAGATAAATGGCCTAGGCAGGCTGCATGTGGCCCACGGGCCATAGTTTGAGGACGCCTGCTCTAGAGCCTACTGTTTGATGATCCTGGGGTTAGGTTTGGAGGGGGGGCTGAGAGACAGCATGGGAAATCAATCCATTTTGACTGAGGGACAGTTGAACAATAGCTCAGAGTTCAACTTTCCCATCACCCAATAAAGTGGCAGATGACCCTGACTCTGGGCCAAGGCTGGTCCCTTATTCAGTGTTTGGGGTTTCTGGCCAGAGGGAGAGTTGGCAGAAGAGCCCTGAGTTCCACTGATGGCTACTCCTTGCTGCAGACACAGGGACGGGGACACTGAGACCACGTCAGCACAGCCGTCTGGGAGCATCTCAGACAATGAGCACAGTGTGCAGGGAGCCGGAGGGGGTTGGCAGAGGCCAGGAAGCTCCTGGGGCCAGGCACAGCTCCCCGCCCCCACACCAGACAAAGAGTGCCTGGGCCTGGGGAGCTGGCGGCCTTCCCGCCACTTGGGGCGCCTGGGGGGGCTCTCGGGCAGGAGAGGCGGGGGCTTTGTCTAACTCCGCCACTGCCACCACCGGCCAGGCCGCGGGTTGGCTTGGCAACCCGTGAGCAGGAGGCAGGGCTGGAGGGCGTGAGGGATGATGACAAGGAAGCTGGAGGAGCGGCAGGCAGCAGCGGAGAGTCCATCTTGGATGCAAATGGCAGGAAGAGAGCCTGGCTTTTGCACAGGGGCCCATGGGGGTGGGCGGCCCCCTACCAAGATACCAGGCCTCTGGGAACCCCAGCACTCCTGGAATTTCCCCCAAGAGAAAGATGACCTGGGTACAGGTGCTAGCCTGCCCAGAACAGGGTTTAAGGAGACACAAGGGGTATCTTGTCCCTGTGACCCCAATCCCCAAGGTCTCAGTCTCAGGCCTGTGCCCCCATGACTCCACAGCAGGCCTGAGATCTGGCCTTGTCCAGACAGGCAGCATACCCTCCCAGCACTCAGCCGCAGGAAGGATGCCTGGAAAAAGCCCACCTAGTAACAAAGATCGTCTTTGTAAGGTCTGCAGACCCCATAGGAGGTGAGAATGTCTGAGGCTAGAACAGTGGCTGTTTGCTCCTTGGAGCTGAGCCCATGATTGAGCAATTCAACTCTCCCTCTGCACCTGAATCTTGCAACCCCTATACCTCCATGCCCAAAGATTTTTTTACAATCTCACTTTTCCATGTCCCTCTTCAGATTTTTGTAATTAAGGAGTCAATGTTTGGAAACAAGGCCAAAACTTGAGCCTGATAGCCAGCGTGGCATTTGTGATCAGTAGGGCCAATGCCCTCCCCCTCAGGCCTTTGCCCCCTAGACACCCGCCCCACTGAGCCTTTTGGGAAGTCTGTTCCCGACCAAGCGTCCAAAGAAGAGGGGCCCTGGTGAGGGCACAAAGACGGTCACCTCAAAAAATCCCACAATCTTATGCCCAGTAGCTCCCTTGGTCCCCGGGGCAAGTCTCTGGGCACAGCCTGAAGCTGCCTTACAACTTCTGCAGGAGTTTCTTGGGATCGACCAGCCCCAATCCAGCAAGGGAGAAGCCCCTCCTGGCTTCTGCAGCGGGGGCCTTAGAGGCCCAGACTTGGGGCTCCCACATGAGGGGCCTGAGGGAACTGCTGCCCCCACCCACCGCCCATGGTCCCAGAAGCTCCTGGTCTCCAACTTCTTTCACTCCGCGCCCAGCCTGAGGGGATTCCTCGCGTGCTCGCGTGGGGCAGCCCCTGCTTCCGTGCATCAGGCCCAGGCTCCCTGGCCCACTAAGTCCCCTGCCCACGGGCGACCGCGACCCCTTCCCCGTCCCAGTCCTAATCCCCGCGGCCCCGCGCCCTCAGGGCCCGCTGCAGCCTGGCATCCCGCCGCCCCCCGCCCTACCCGCGTGCATCCAGCCCGGCTGGCCCCCAGTTCCCCAGGGCAGCCCGGACCCTGCGCCCCGCTCCCGGCACCCGGTGCGGCCCGGGCCGCTCCCGACTCCCGCCGGCAGGGGCCCTCGCCGAGCCGCCCAAAAGCCGGAGGAAAAAGGAGCCGAGAAAAAGCCTCCCCCGCCCTCGCCTTCGCTCGCCGCGCTCCCCGCGATCCGCGGCCGCCGGCGTGGGGGGG